TATTTCGACTATAAAATATTATCTTGGCATGGTTATAAAAAGAGACAACAATGTGTTTTACAAAGAAACAAAAACATTCACAAACAAATGGCTTTTAAATCAAAACTGGTCCCAATTAAAATGTTCATATTTTAAATAAAGCCCAATGTGACTTTATACTATGTAGTTTTCTGTCGTTGCAGCAGTAATCTCCAAGGGAATTGTGACATATCATGGATAATAAAAATGTCACAAGGTTACCCCAGGAGATTTTGAGAATGAACAAGTGATCAGGAACAAAAGAACATAAAAAGTGAGATGTATAATTTACCTCTTCTGGTAGTTTTATTGTTCTAAACTGGATATCTTTAAGAAATGATGGACATGCAATTAGAATATCACAAGGACAATTTAAAATAAATAATTTATAGGATGCTGATCAAGCAAATCATTTTTATTTATTCACTTTCATTTAAGTTCATAAACAACTTTTTATGATACAGATTTCACAACAAGATCACTATGGACACATATGTAGTCATTGATTCTATTTTGTAAGAGTTCTGTGTATCGGCATGCTGGGTACATTTCACTTTTAACATTTGTAATACAATTCTAAATCCTTAATTTTCTACACGCAATTAACAGGTCTTAAGCAGGCCTTCTTCCTATCCTGCATTTGGTGGTTCTGTCCCACCATTCCAAATTAGGTAATCACCTAATATTTTTGGCTAAGCTTTTTGTATGATTTGATTATTTTTGGAAAAATAATTTTAATATTTTGACATGTTTTTTTCAATATTGATATTTTGTATAAATGATATATTTTTGCTATTTTATTTTGAAAAAAATTATTTTCAAAATTTAGCCAAAAATATCAAATGATTTGTAAAGCTTATCCAAAAATTATTAGATTGACGCCTTAGTTCCTTGGTGTCCCACAACCAGTGACACCATGAAACTGTCCTTGGCGAGCACAGCACATCATTACATGCGTTGACACTGAGCAGAGGTTCCTAGGATCACATAGACAGTGCTTCAGCTTGCCCCTCTGCATAGTTCTGTATGATGAAGGCCAATCGAAGGGCTGTCTTTTATCCTGGCATGCTTAATGCCAGACAGACTTCCCCCTTCAGTAGACATCCCCACCCACATTCTGGATGGACATGCCCATTATGGCAATCCCCCTGAAGTCCCATCCACCCATCTCAAATCCATACCTCCCAATATTGGGAGCTATAAATAAGTACAATAATATGATCAGCATTCTTTACATTTAAAGGGGTAAAATACAAGTAGATCTAAAATGTTAATGTTAAAATGTCTCTGTCTGGACATTTGGGGCTCTCTTGCTGGTTTGTGGGCAGTAATATCTGCTTTTTACCCTGGGCCTCTGCTTTATTTAACTGCAGGAGTTCTGATTATATGAAACAAAGAACTAGACAGAGGCTGGAATTTGGTTTGTAAATTTCAGTAATATTTATTCCATCCTTTCAGCTCTCATATTGGATTATTAGCATATAATATTCAATTCTTATAATTTCAGCAATCCAGATACCTCACTATATCACTTCCTAGTAAACCCTAATTACAAAAAGGAAGCCTAAATAGGGTGAGTGGTCAAAAAGACATAGACCTAAACTAACCTTTCCACTTGTCAATCAGTTATGGAACACAATATTTATACTATCCATTTACATGTTACCTGTCAGGAAAGTGACATGGATCCAATACGCAGAGTGCGCACAGAATGAGGTACGTATACCGGACCTTAGAATGGCCGGACTAACGTAAGGACAAAGCAAGAATAGTCAAAAGGTAAGCCGAGGTCAAGGGAGCCGGAGGACAGGTAAGCGAGATACAAGCCGAGTCAAAGGAGAGGAGAGGACAACAGGACAAAAGACAAGCAAGGGTCAAAACCGGAAACACAAGATAAAGAACGCGCTGAGTGACTAGCAAGCTAGAACCACGACAGGGCAATGAGCAGTAGTAAAGGTTTCCTTTAAATACCCTGTTACCTAAATAGAGACCACGCCCCCAAAAGGTCCGGAATAGCGGTTCCCGGCACTTTATGCAAATGCCGACGTCATGACGTCGACGCTAGCCGTCGCGTCATAAAAGGGGGAGGAGCTAGCGCGGCCGGCGCGAAAACGGCCGGAATATGCCGAAATGCTAGGGGCAGGGAGGCCCTAAGCAGAGAGGATGTCCTCCCTGGATACATCACCAACAGGTACCCTGACAGTACCCCCCCTTCTAGAAACGCCCACCGGGCGGATGGGACCTGGCTTAGAAGGAAAACGAACGTGGAAGGCCCGAAGAAGACGAGGAGCATGCACGTCTATACCAGGAACCCAAGACCTCTCTTCGGACCATAACCTTTCCAGTCTATGAGGTATTGCAGCTTCCCCCTAGAAATACGAGAATCAAGGATGGACTTGATGATATATTCCTCCTGACCATCCACACGGACCGAGGATGGAGGAGCAGAGCGGGAGGAAAATCTGTTACAAACAAGAGGTTTCAATAACGACACATGAAAAGAGTTAGGGATGCGTAGAGTAGGAGGTAGATCCAGCAAATAAGAAACCGGGTTGATCCTCCTCAGTACCCTGTAAGGACCAATGTAACGAGGAGCAAACTTCAAGGAAGGAACTTTCAGGCGAATGTGTCTGGTACACAACCAGACCCTATCCCCCGGAGAAAAAATAGGAGCAGGACGCCTACGCCTATCAGCATGTGACTTAAACACCGCGGAACTACGTTCAAGAATTTGTCGAGTCTGATCCCACAACTTTCTCAGGTTGGCTACATGAATATCAACCGACGGTATACCCTGGGAAGGAGACACCGACGGAAGAACAGTAGGGTTAAAGCCATAGTTCAAGAAAAAGGGGCTATTACGAGTGGAACCACAAACAAGGTTGTTGTGAGCAAACTCCGCCCAAGGAATCAGACCGACCCAGTCATCCTGGTGTTCAGAAACAAAACAACGTAGATATTGCTCAATTTTTTGGTTAGTGCGTTCGGCTGCTCCGTTAGATTGAGGATGATAGGCCGAAGAAAAATTCAGTTTGATGCCCAACTGTGAACAGAAGGATCTCCAAAAACGGGAAATAAATTGGGAACCCCTGTCTGACACAATCTCATTGGGAATACCATGTAAACGGAAAATTTCTCTAGCAAATATCACGGCCAGTTCGGGGGAGGACGGAAGTTTAGGCAAGGGAACGAAATGAGCCATTTTAGTAAACCTGTCAAGGACCGTGAGGATAACTGTATGCCTATTGGAAGCTGGTAGATCAACAATAAAATCCATAGCCAAACAAGCCCAAGGTTTGTTGGGAACGACTAAGGGCTGCAATAAACCACAAGGGAGATCCCGCGGAAGTTTATTCCTGACACAAACATTGCAAGCCTTGACAAAGTCTTCCACATCCCTACGTAAACCGGGCCACCAGAAGTCTTTGGAGATCAGGCAGTAAGTTTTGTGGATGCCGGGGTGACCAGCGAACTTGCTATCGTGAAAACAGCGAATAATGTCCACTTGGAATTTGGGAGACACGAACAAGCGGCCCACAGGAGTACGTTCGGGAGCAAGAGATTGTTCGTTCATAATATCAGCGAGCAATGGAGAGTGTATTTTGACATTGGTGTTGGCGATAATATTGACTTCAGGAATAATAGGGAACAAAGTATCCTCTGAAGAGGTGGTAGGTTCCTGCTGACGTGACAAAGCGTCTGCCTTAGTGTTCTTAGAACCAGGCCTGTAAGTAAGCACATAATTAAAGTGTGTAAGGAACATAGACCAACGTGCCTGCCTGGCAGATAATCTTTTGGCCTCCCCCATATACGATAAATTTTTGTGGTCAGTCAAGATAGTAACTGGGAGGACGGTGCCCTCTAACAAATGTCTCCATTCCTTTAATGCCATAATGATAGCTAGAAGTTATCTATCACCAATGTCATATCTCCTTTCAGTGTGTGATAGTTTCTTGGAAAAAAACCCGCAAGGGTGCAGCGGCTTATCTAAACTTTGTCTTTGGGACAACACTGCGCCTATCCCTGTTTCAGATGCATCAACTTCAAGTAAAAAGGGTAGAGAGGTATCAGGATGAACTAATACAGGTGCTGAGGCAAAAGACTGTTTGAGCGTTTCGAAAGCAGATAAAGCCTCAGTAGACCAGGTTTTGGTATCGGCTCCTTGTTTGGTCATATTAGTGATAGGAGCGATAACAGAGGAGTACCCTTTAATAAAACGTCTGTAATAATTAGAAAATCCAAGAAATCTTTGTATGGCTTTGAGTCCCTTAGGTAAAGGCCAATCTAAAATCGATTTTAGTTTGGTCGGGTCCATCATAAACCCGTCTTTGGAAATTACGTAACCTAAGAAAGTTACCTGAGACTGGTCAAAGCTAGTGATGTACCGAACGGTTCGCCGGCGAACGGTTCCTGGCGAACATAGCATGTTCGCGTTCGCCACGGCGTGCGAACATATGCGCGGTTCGACCCGCCCCCTATTCGTCATCATTGAGTAAACTTTGACCCTGTACCTCACAGTCAGCAGACACATTCCAGCCAATTAGCAGCACAGCCTCCCTAGCAGACCCTCCCACCTACTGGACAGCATCCATTTTAGATTCATTCTCAAGCTGCATGCTTAGTAAGAGGAGGGAAAGTGTAGCTGCTGTTCATAAGATAGGGAAAAGCATAGCTAGGTTAGGGATAAGGGTATGCTTTTTTTGGATTTTTTTTTTCTATCTAATGTAAATGCACTTGGTTGTCTGCCACTGCTGCCAGCTTCTGTGTCAGGCTCACAGTGCCCATTTCCCCAGTCAGTGCCACCAATTACATCTGGTGTCACAATAGCTTGGATTTAAAAACAAAAAACTTTTTTTACTGTTATAGATTGAATAGCAGTCAGTGTCCTTAAAGCGGGTGTGTTACGCTAACAGTGGATAAGCTGACAAGTGCCACTAATTAGATCCGGTGTCACAATAGCTTGGATTTAAAAAAACAAAAAACTTTTTTCACTGTTATAGATTGAATAGCAGTTAGTTATCTTCAAGCGGGTGTCAGGCCTACAGCCTGTGCTCTGCACAACTGTGCCAGTGCACATTGCCACTCATATCTGGTCTCACGGTAGCTTGCACGCATAGTACCACTAATCCCAACAAAAATGACAGGCAGAGGCAGGCCACCCCGCAGGGGCCATCGTGGTCGTGGTGCTGTGATTCCCTTTGGCCCTAGAATAATGCCCAGTTTTCAGAGGCCGCGTACCCTGAACTTGAAAAGTTCTGAGGACATAGTTGACTGGCTAACACAGGACACCCAATCTTCTACAGCCTCCGCTCAGAACCTTGACGCACCATCCTCCTCCAGCTTAGCTTCAGGCACCTCTCAAGATACCACTCACCGCCTGCCGCCACCACCAAAACTAGCACCACAGCCTTGGTATGTCAGAGGAGTTATTCACACATCCGTTTGAAGAAATGAGTGATGCGCAACCATTATTGCCAGAGGAAGTAGATAACAGGGATATGTCTCAGGCAGGCAGCATTACACAC